AACCTTGAGCCGGTGAGATTTGAACCGCTGAACTGCAGATAACAGTCAGCTGAAGTGGCCTGCAGTACTGCACCCTAACCACTGTGTCACCTCGGCTCCTAAATAATAATAAAATTCTCCAGGCTGGGCTACAGTACATCGATCGCTTAGAAGAGAATGTAATCTATAAAATGCCGGTCTATGATTTTTCCATTATCTTGAAACTCATAATCCAGTCAGTGTTTTGGCTTAACAATCTGTTTATGATTATTATAAGCTTCCCGACTACAAAAAAAACTCGGTACATTACATGAGTATTATATGAAGTAGTCCTAGATCTTAAGAGGAGGTTTTGATTTTTAAAAACTGGAACACATTTGAAGGAAGGTTTCTAGGTCATCTGCAAATATGTGTATATTTATCTTTGCAGCTACAAGCATACAGATGTAAACAATTTATCCTGTAAGGGTCCCCCTATGGAAATTCCTGCAGAATTTAATAGCAAGCTGGATGTGATCTATACATACTCTGTGAAATTTGAAGTAAGTATAACTTGTAGATGTACAACTGCATCTGTTTCAATGATTCAGGTTTTCCAATATTGGTGGTTAATGGGCTGATAGTATGTACTGAACCTCACAATAAGCTTTTTAAGTGTATGTATATATGTGACTGTGTGTATGTGTTTATATGTGTGTGTGTGTATTTTGGGAAGTTATTGTGCTAATAATAACAGTATTACCAAAAGGCACACCCTATGAATATTATTCATATTTTCTCAAATGCATTTTTCACAATTGGGCTACGTACTGTGTGTTGCGCAATTCTTCCAGTGCCCTCAGACATAAAAATTGAGCATTTCTCCTCAATTATTTTTAGCAGTTTTTCTCTGTTGCCATTATACAACTTCTTGAAACATTAAACTACATTCCCTCCCCCCTCCCAACATACATCCATCACGTGTCAACCCCAAGCCAAGGTTGAGGTGTTTTTTTTTTCCTTAAGAGGTCAAGAAGGTGGTTTGTTTACCGTCTGTGTATAAATCATGTTTGTCTCTGACACGCTGTGGGGAAAACGGCACCCTATTCCATTGGGGGGGTCACCGCAGCAGAGATGATCTGACATTTGAAGTCTCGCAGTCACGTAAAATTTGTTCTTTGGGAAGCGACATTTGTGATCCCGCTCCAATTTTTCCGCCCCCCGCACAGGAGAACAACAATATAAAATGGGCATCCCGATGGGACTACATCTTGAAATCCATGCCTCACACCAACATTCAGTGGTTCAGGTAAGACAGCAGCCNTGTGTGTGTTGAAGCCAGGGCATCGACTGATCGGAAGCCTTTAAAGGTGGCAAGTGAAACTGATCAGCGTTCCTGACCTTAATCGGTGACCCTTGAAGTCCGAGGTAGATTTGCTCAATTTATTTAGCTAGTCAATTTATCGAGCCGCCCTGGGCAGGAACAAAGTCAGCCAGCGCACAATTGGCTTTTGTGTGTGTGTGTGTGTGAGATTGTGTGCTCCACAAGAGGGCGGAGTAAGCATGGTCAAGTCCTTTGAATGCCTTTCCTGTCTCTGTTCCACCCATCTCTTGTTCCTTTGCTGGAGGAGGAAGGGGCCATCTAATTGATGCTTTGTCATCCACATGTTTACCAACTCCTTTTTTTCCTGTCCCTCCCCCCCATAAAAAAAAAACATTCCAAAGCCCGAAGATACTACAAAAGAATAATCTGAGATGATTTGAGAATTGGGAGTGGTGGTGGGGAATGCTCTCTGTTGTGATTGCTTCAACCTTTTTTGGCGGCGTGGTGGTGGTGGTGGCCCAGAAATGCTTGAATAAAATCACATTTTGTAATGGAAAGAGAAGAGGGTGTGTTGTTGTGGTTTTATTACAGCTGGTTGTCCGAGTTTGACTTCCACCACAAAAGTTTCGTAAAGAAACTTGCCTTCAGAAGTCGTGGGTGCTTCATCCCTGGAGGCTTTCAAAGAAGAGACGGAACAGCCGCTTGTCAGGAATGGTATAGCGTCTCCTGCTAGAGCAGGGGGTTGGGCTAGAAGACCCCCAAGGTCCCTTCCAACTCTGTTGCTCTGTTATAAAGGTGCACCCTTGTGTGATTGATGGCTGGGTTCTTGGGCTAATCAAAACTAGAAGATAGAACAGAATATTCTTCATTGGCCAAGTGTGATTTGACACACAAGGAATTTGTCTCCGGTGCATAAGCTCTCAGTGTACATACAAAAAACAAAGAGATACATCGTAAGATATGATCAACAAAATGATAGTCATTCGATACCAATAGGAGTAGGTGATAGGAAAGATGAGAAGGATAATACAGTCCTACTCCCTGGTTAGCTATCCTTAGGAATGCGACTATTTGAGTATTTTCCAACACTTCATTCACTAGCATTATTCTTTATGAATATATTGCAGAATAATCTTCTGTTTCTTACCTGTTTGAAGTGTATATTTTCCTCCTTTGAATCTTAGAATAATAGCAATAGCAATAGTTAGACTTATATACCGCTTCATAGGGCTTTCAGCCCTCTCTAAGCGGTTTACAGAGTCAGCATATTGCCCCCAACAACAATCTGGGTCCTCATTTTACCCACCTTATCAGGATGGAAGGCTGAGTCAACCTTGAGCCGGTGAGATTTGAACC